TCGCGATCTCCTCTCACCCGGCTCTTCGCGCTCGGCTCTCGGCTCCCGGCTCCCGGCCGCGGTCGGCTGTCGTAATTTTCGCCACTCGATATCGCTTCCCGCGGTTCTCTTCTGAGAAGGAATTCTAGGAGGCGCAGAAACGGAACGATCCATTACGCATTTGATCTAAAGATGATCTTTGTGAGGTGGTCTTTGTGGTGGCGCAATCTTCGTATAGGCCAAACATCGTTGGCGAAACGCGAGACCGAGCGTCTCGCCGCCTCTCCACGTCGATTCTTTCGACGCGGCGCGAAGTCCAAATATTAGAAGCAAACATCCTTCCGTCCGGCGACGAGGGCCGAATTTATTTACATGATGCTCGACCATTAAACGCCATCCACTTGTCTCGCGGCCGTGGACGGCGAAGCTTCGAGCAAGAGCGGGAATGAAGGGCGCGGCGGCGATGGCGGCGAGAGGCGACGGGGGCAGGAATTTTATTTCCGCTCGCATTAATTTCAACGACGCAGAAGACGCGGCCGCCATAAGGCGCGGCTTGAAATTACGAATATTATGACTTCAACCAGTTCTCAGAATTCTATGTTTTTCATTCTTTAATCTCGGTCCTCTCGTGTTTCACACCATATCTTATGAACACACTCGCCCTCTCTCTAACCCGTTCTCTCTAACACTTCCTTTCTCGGCTTCTCAGTCCGGGAGCAAGGTAGAGTGCCACACGTGCAGAAAGAGTGCAGAAGCAGTTCTACAGTAATCCTTATTATACAACGGAAAAGTATTAAAAAAATATTAACTGCGCGAGAGAGAAGCCCGTGCTTTATCACCGACTCTCTTGAGAGTCCGCGGGATGTTGACTTTTGTCAAGTAAAAGTTTAATGGAAGGCCTTTGAATAATTACTCAATATCGAAATGAAGTTCTAGAAATTTCAATGAGTAATAAGAGCCTGTCCTTTGAATAAATTGTGAGCAGGTTTTAACAAAATTATAATTGTTTATTCAACTTTGCGTTATATTTAATATACATAACAATAACACTTGCTTGCCGTAACAATGCGCAATTGTATATCGCGATGATGTTTCGGGTATTCGGTGACATGAACGCGACAACACGACACTCCGGTATTTCGCGTCGTCGTTTCGGAGCACCTGGAGTCTAAGACTCGTCGCTGTGTATTTGGAGACGTGCGATTTGACATAAGTCGCGCCGGTATTATTCGGCGGCGAGCAGCGACTCGGTTTCCGGTCGTTCGTCTCAGCATGAGATAGACGATTAATATACATTTTAAGCCGTCAGTGGCGAATTTGAATAATCTCCTGGTATTCCGCAGCAGGCACTCCAGAAGCCGCGAGGCCCCTCCAGCCCGCCGGGGCCTGGCAACGTTACGTTCGAGTGTTTGACGAACGAACGCGTTACGTCGCCGACTTTTTTGTTTCCTCCTTCTGGCATCGGCATCAGCGTCGAGCTATGTCGAGTGGTAGCCCGCTCTCACGGACCCCAGCCGCTGTCTCGTACAATTTTATCCCGTCCCAACCTATCTCATTCCATTCGATGTGTCTCCTTCGTATAGATTTAGGTACGTAACTGATCGATCTTAAACCCTTCGTTCTCCCAATATCTGCTTACCCTGAATCGCTACGATTAAATCGAAATCGCGCACTCGCACGCGGAAAGAAAACCGTGGCTACCGCAGCTAAAAACTGCACGCGGCAACGAAATTTCAGCTGTAAAATATGCACAGCTCAGATTTAGTTGCGATAGCTAAATATTTGGCTACTGCGCCTATTCAGGTGCGACAGCAAACCGTTCGCCGTGCTTTGGAAATTAATATTTGTGGCAGAAAAATATTTGTAGCAAACCGTGATTAGCTACGGTAGCGAAGATTTTCTTACGTTTTAACAAGTTTCACTGCCATTTCTAACGCAAATGTATACGTGCGCAAATTCGAAAGAAAAACACAACCACTAAACTCCACACGCCACGGAGCTGTAATGACTGTAAGTGTCTTAATTATCGTGAGATGCCCGCATTCCGTAGTTTCTTTTCCTTTAAGTCGATCGCCGGTTTAGATTCACGAGCATCACCGATGCGTGACGCGTCCTCATTAGCAAGCGGTTTGCAAGCGTTTCTGTAATTACGTGAAACACGGCTTCTCAATATGCATTATGCCTATCGCCGGGAGTTCACAAGGCAATTTGTCGAACGTTCTTTTGCAAGTTCGTAATTTAACAGGCGTTTAATAAGCGCGCTTCTCTCCACCATTCTTGCAGCACTTTTTATTCCAATTTACTTACCGGCGACGGCGCTCATCACGCTAAGGAAAGAAGACAGGATAGAATTCCAAGCTTTCTTGGAATGGCGCGTCACCGTCTTCAGTCCCTTTCGGTCGACTTTCGGTAACTTCGGATCTGGTATCTCGAGTATTTAGGCCAAGGTTCAGGAATTTTAAAAATCCGCCGAGAACACAGACGATCTTCTTGTCGTACGCGCATGATACAACAATGGAATCGAGAGAACAATAGACTTTTCAAGGGGTGAAACTTTGCGCTCTGTCCACCAGTTTAAAGTTAAATCCATCGATAATTCGCAGCTCTCGCTTATTGCCAGAGGGCGACCGAGACCGATTCCTCGTTTGAGCCAGAGCCAATTAAAAGGAAGGGGTCGGCGAGAATGAAGTTTGTTCGCGCAAAATTCAATTCGCGATTCTCGCGACGAAAAGATCGTTAGGTCCCCGACGAATGTACGCGGGGATGAGAGGTAAACGGGACGAAGGCTTTCGTTGACGGTCGATCGCGAACACTGCGATTCGACGATTTCGGTGCACGTGCGCATAGGTGTGCGTGCGTTCGTGCGTGCGCGCGTGCTGCTTGCACGTACAGAGAGGGTGATAATGTATTCAAGGTCCGCCCCGCGAGCCGCATGGTGGGGTGAAACGGGGCGGCCCGCGCGCTATAGGTACTGTAACAGATGTTAATTATCCCTTCTGTATAGCCGGCGAAAAAAGGAGCTCGCTCGCGCTCCTTCCTCGCGGGCACTCGGACATATCGTCCCGATCGTACGCGCTGCGCATCCCCGCTCGTCGCCGGCCGGCAGCGCGTATATTCTCGCGGCTACGCCTAACGCGCTCGCGCCAATCGGAGGGCGCGCTCGACTTCGACCGACCCTACTTGCGATTATTCGCACAGATCTTTCTGCTTAAATCTGTAGATCCGTCGATGAGCCGATGCGCCGCGGCGCGAGATGGCAGTAACAATGGCCAGGAACACATCGCGATGGAATCGCGAAAGTTGCACACCCCGGCGTTTCGTGTGTGCGCGCAATGAGATAAAAGACGATATTATTGCGTTATTCTTACATTGTTTTTTATCATTGGAAGATTAAGGCATCATTGGCTGCGCGTACTTGCACAATGATGCCGATTTATCAAGGTTTGAATTTTGCGAACAAACGCGCGTGTCTTTCGAGACGATTTCCTCGTTGACACCGCGGACAAGCGTCAGTCGACACGGTAGCGGACTCGGGGTAGCGGGGGTTGATCTTTCGAGGACCGGTTGGTTACCGGTCTGAATAGCGGTCTGTCGTGCGAGCGACGCGCAACACAATTTGCGCCTTGATCGAGGAGGCAATAGAAAGCCCTCGTACATCAAGCGTGATCGGTACGACAGGTTGGAATTACGGCGCGTGTCGCCGATCCGCGTCGATTCGATGGTCCCCGCGGGATGGGGTTTCTCTATTTAAAGGTTAATTATTTACGACTCGGCTCATTAGCCCGTCGTGATCGGCAATTATCATCGCAGCCGCGACTTCTGCGGCGTGCCTTATCGCCTTGGCGATCGCCGGGTTTAAGCATCGTTAAGGCGCCGTATGCACGATGCATCCTAACGATTCGCGTTTAAATAAGAAATTCCGTCGTCGGGACACGCTGTTCTTTCCGCGTGAGCGACAACGATTAAACGCGACATTAATAAAAGACGAACCGCGCTCGATGAGCGAGCTACCCATCTCTCGCGACGGGTTCCTGAAGGATGCGGTCCAGCATCGGGCCGGGGTCAAACCCTCGGGCCAAAAAAGGCAAACCGCCATACGTAGGCGATCGGGCGACGAACGGCCACGACGACGGCGGCGGCGGCGGCGGCGGCGGCAGAAGCGGGTAAGAAGTCATTTTCCAACGGATTGAAATTCCATTCTGCCGTTTCTCATTGCGAGAGAGCCAAACCCGAGAGCCGTAAGACCATGAAATGACAGTTAGTGCGAGTATAACCCTAGCGAGATAAACCCTTTCGATTGGTCGGACGTTAATGTGCTTATCACGCCGCCTGCGCTCCACGTCCTTTTATTGTTTCTCTCTCATTTCTCTCTCTCTTTTTTCGCTTCGTCGGCCGTTTCCCCTCTCCCCCGTGTCCTCTCTCTCCTGTCGCGCGTTCGCAATCTCTCCCTTTCTTTCCTCATCTCTCTCTCCTTCGGCGTACCGTTTGCCGCCGTGCGACACGACAGCGTGTAATGGGCTTAAAGGTCTGCATTCCAATAACCGAGAAACGAATTGTCGTGCACTCGCGCGTTATCGCGCCAAGCCGGTCGCTCGAAAGTAGCAGCGCGAGACCAACACCAGCGCGGCGCTCGTATATCACCGCAGCTTTTGTTACTGTGACGTGCCTTTGTTTTCGCCTCGTTTTCGCGATTCTCTTACGTCGCTCCCTCCTCGAGCTTGGTACAGACTCAGAAACATCATCGGCGAGTCTATTGTCGAGGAACGAGTCGCGAACTTCATTCGCGATTAGGTTGATGAAACGCCTCGCGGACGGAGATTGCTTCGCGATAAATCGAAATCGATTCTTACCGCGGTAATTCCCTTCTAATCGAAAGTACGATATCTGCGCGTCCCGCGCATCAGAAGGCAGTGCCACTCCTCGCCGGTCGTTGCCACGTGTCAGCGAAACACGTGAGAAGCAAATTCGCGAGACAGACCGGCCCAAGTACGAACTGGAGATCATTTCGCGCTTTCTTTCAGGATGCGGTGAGCAGCCGGCTGATCCGTGAGGGGTTCGAGATGTCCGCCGTAACCAGCCCGTATGGCCCCGGTAAGACACTTTCCGTCAAAGTCGATAGTTGAACGCTAAGAGCCGGTCTACAGTGAGGTGTTGGTCGTTAGTCAGAAGTCAGAACCTATGTGTCGGTCCTCTTTTTCTTCCACCCAGAAAGGAAAAGGATAGTTCCGACTTCTGACTAACGACTAACAACTCATTGTATACCAAACGTAACAGATTCGTGTTCTATGTGAAATATCTACACGGAAAGACCGGCTAAGGCAAAGATAATTAAACTTAAAATGTCAGTGTTTTCATGACCACACCTGGCATTTTTAATAATACAGACAATTTATTGCGAAAAATATTACCTCAGCCAGGCGGGCGTCTAGAGTGTAAGGAGGTCCAGGTTCAAACCCTGGCCGAGGTAATATTTTTCGCAATAAATTTTCTGCATTATTAAAAATGCCAGGTATGGTCAAGGAAACACTGACGTTGTCAATTATCGCTGGCGACATTGAAGAATTCTTATTAGTAAAATTAAAATGTTGCCGTATAAACAGTATGGGCGCATCTACATTGTTTCGTGTTGCAGCATTCACTAGGTTTGCTGCACAAAACGCATATGGTTGTCTCCACGACTTATCATACCAGTGTGGGTGTGACAACCACAGATATAGCTGTCCCAAATATTATTATACTATTTATTGGGGTTGTGCCAACCCTAATTAGACATGTGGCAACCATATCGGTCTCTCCGTGTAATCATGATAAGTTTATTTCAAATTTACGAGGCGTTTTACATAGAATCGTCAAACCTTTCAGATTTTTAGTGACTTTAACAATAGTCTACACTGAAAAAATAATTTCGCTACCGTAAGCTAATCGTGGTTTGCTAAAAATATTTTGCTGCCTTAACTATAAAGTTCTAAACCGCAGCGAACGGTTTGCTGTCGCACCTGATACAATAGTTTCAGTAACAAAATATTTAACTGGCACGGCTAAGTATTGGCTGTCCATGTTTTACAACTGAAATTTAATTGCCGCGTGCAGTTTTTAGCTACGGCAGCTGCATTTTTCTTTCCGTGTAGATTACAAAACCGCGAATGTGATTTGTACGCTTTGCTTATGAAACGTTGGAGTCAAGAGAGGACCCTTGCTGTGCCATTACCCAGATAGCACACTTAGTTCTATGAATATTCTTCTGGAGTGCAAATATTCTTAATTTCAGAATATTCCAATCGAATATTTTACAAATATATATAGATTATTACAATTATAGAAATCACATATTCATAACAAAGAAGAACGTTTTTAGAATATACGTCGAGAATGTCTTTGGAATATTCGATCAGAATAATTTTTTAATATTCATCGAGTTTATGTATTGCACATTGTTTATTATTCAATACACTCATCTTATGCAAAAGGCAGTGAAACCTGTGATCATACCATATATAACCGACACGCTATATTCGATTATTCTATTCACATTCGAGATAGATTTATAGTGCCAGTCGAGTGTTCCACGAACATAAGATAAATATATAAGAATGACTATGGAATATTCCAAATATTCTTGAAGAATATTCCTAAAATGTTCGTAGGAATGTCTTGTGCTATCTGGGTATATTGTTACCGACAATTCTCCGTTTTTGCGCTAAGAAATCGTCTTACGTGAACCACAAAGCGATCGTTTCGGCATATCTGACAATAAGCGAAAGCAGCGGAATGTCGCGTCACGGGCACACGAATCGCGGGATTAATTTTATGAAACTATCGCGCGTACGCCGCACCGCCGACGTTCCGAGAAGAAGCGTCTGCTTAGCGTCCGAGTTCGCAGGATTGTAATTGACGCTAAAAGTTGATATCTATTAACTGTGATATGAGAAACGAGCGACGCGCTGCGCGGCATCGCCTTGAAACGCCGCGGCATTTGTTACGCGGAATTAGTGACTATTGTCGCCTCTACCTTCGCGATGCAAATCCCGAGATACCATTGCTCGTTCAGAGATTGTCTTTACTCGCACTTGACATTCCTAAGTTATTGGAGAGACCGACGGATGTAAAAATGAGGCGAAAAACAGCTTGAGATCGGACTCGCTTGGCTCTTGCGCGCACGCCATTAGCGTCGGTTGAGAAATGAAACGATAGGATTATGGCGGTTTATCTAAACAAGACGACGATCGAGTGAATTTCATCTTTCATCAGCGGAGATGCTTTCCGACTCGGTCTACAACTACGCGACGACCCGACGGGGCGCCACCGATCAGGACAGCGACTCCCAGTACGAGGCCCAGGCCCAGTTGCAGATCACCAGCAGCATCCAGAGCAAGCCGCGGAACAAGCGAAAAAATTTCAAGCCCATAAGCAGCCGGATGGCGGAGGTATCCGACGAATCCGAGAGAGACGACGACGAACCGGAGGTCGTGGAGGAGAGTTCCAGCGAGATCCTCGAGTACGAAAGGAAAACGATGTTGCTGCCGGCCGAGGAGAGGTCGAAGCAACGATTAAACAATAACGAGGCCAGTCCAATGGATCTCTCGGTCGCCACCAGACCGCCGTCCTCCGAGGCCGACGACGATAGCGCGGACTCTCTCAGGCATAAGTTCATTCTCGAGCAGCTGAGGTCGCAGAAGTTTTACTCCCCCGGTACAGAGGTAAGTTGCGATCGACCGATCCTTGCTATTCGATTTCATTCGTTTAACGCGAGCTGTTGTTGGATTTGTTCTCGGATGTCTACGGTACCCAGGCGAGGAGTCCAAACTCCGATTCATCGGATAGAAGCGGGAGCGGCGTCCTGGATGCGGAGTCGTCTCGCTTGGACGACCAGGACACCCAATTCGAAGATGAACGGGGCAACGACGTCGACGGCGAAGTTGAGATTGAAGAGCGGAAGCCCTTCGAGGGCATGAGAGAGTACGCGGAGTCGACGATGCAAGAACTTCTGGCAATCTACGGGCTGGCAGGGGGCGAACTTGCGAAATCGGTCAGCAGGCAACTACCGCCCACGTTTCTCAACCCGAATGTTGGCCAGCAAGCTCAAGGTAAGGGACCTTCCAAAATTTTACCATTTACATTCAACCGACTAATTGAATAATTTGAAAATTTCCCCATCACTACGTAAAGTTACGCTCCAAGTTTCGATCGACTTGTGACAGTTGTTTCAAGTGCCATCGCCACTCTGGAAATTAAGATGGACGATTACGATTTTGGATGGTTATTAAACCGGTATTGTCGAGTCGCATTGTTAGGCTCGCCCGCATTGTCACTCGACGAAGTTGCGACGGAATAGATGGGTCAGAATACACGGATTGGCATCAGATTCGGGTTGGCGTGGGATTGATCGTTGGCCGCAACTGGTCGACATTCGCGATCGAGCTTGGCCGAGTATCAATTCCATGCTTCGCTTGCCGCGAGAGTTATCGATCGACGGAATTCCGACGTTGTCGTCGCGTTTTTGACGGACCGAATTATGTCGAATTCATCTCGAGGTGACGAGGAAAAAAAATGGAAACGGATTGATATTCGCGACAAACGTGGGCGTGGTGTTCCTCGGATGATTTGTCGAGTCTGCTGACCGCCGCGCTGGTAGCCGCGATCATCGTTCGATACAACGTGAATTAGAAGCCTCCGCCGAGCAGTGGCGGTTACGTCAGCCGGCATCGCGATAAACGAATGCACTTCTCGCGATATATGTGTGCTCGAGGATGGGGACTCGCGTAGAGAGCCGGGGCGGCTTTCGGCCGGGACTGTACGTGCACCAGAACAGAATGTGGCACTTACATATTGCCGGTGCATCGCATATGTGCGCACGTGAATATGTGATGGCTCTCGCAAGATGGCCGACTTATAACTCATAAAGTCGGTCGGTCCCGACTGTGCGCTAAGCGTCGACCGCCCGACCCGCGATCGATGGATGCCTTCGAGATCAGCCAGCGTCATCGTTTCCCGTTGCGCGCGGCGACCAGCGTGGGTTGACGCTCTCGAGAATTCCCTGCGGTCCGGAATTCTGAAGTCGCCTTAACTCACGCGCGCGCGCGCTCTCTTTCTCTCTCTCTCTCTCTCTCGTCACCTTCTCTCGAACGCGAATTATTTGCTCTACGAAAATAGTTTTTGATACGCGTATCCCGGAACCTTGATTGGAACGAAGGACGAAATGCTGACACGCAGAATGTTGACGGGATTACAAATTAATTTATTTCTTTTGACCGGTGATTCTGTTGAAGGCAGCTACAACAGCGTACGAATATATGGTTCTCGATTAATAATCCAACTCGCGGACATTTCGAAACAAGCGTCAACTGTCTGATATTATAATCTGATAATATAAAATTTGTTATCTTATATTTGAGAATAAAGAAGTGAAAAGTCTGTCATTGCCGCGTCTTCCAACTGGTCACCACCTACGTGCAGGTGACGAGGAACAAAAGTCGGAGCATCTCGCGATACCACGTATCGTCGCAATTAATACAAAGAAATCTCGTGTAATTTATCATATAAAAGATCTTATTGCGGCAACGTGTCATCCTAGCCACGACACGTTAGATAACGAGAAAAAAAAGGACGATACTTCTCGGACGAGCGTCATCCGTCTCTGCGAATCACGCCTTGACGAGCTGACAAACAGACGTGTTGCGTATTTGTTTCTGAAAATATCACATTATATCGCGTCAACTTTGATGAAATATCTTAGAGGTACATTTACTGCCTGGGAAGATCCGTGACGTGACTGTTCTCTTTCTCGCGCTAGTTAAAAGTTACGCCTTCGACCTAGAAATCCTATGTTTCTAAACTTTTGTTACGAGCCAACCGAATCAATCCTTCGCCGGGACTTTCCGTCCAGTTAATCGCTCCATTTCATGGCGCCGCGATATTAATGCGATACACCGAGGGCACAGAAAAGGTGTGTACTACTGTCGTGCTGAGCGAGCGGGGGAGCGATAATCTGACGCGAAGAAAAGCAGAAAACTCACCTCTATCCACGCGAGTGGAAGAGAGACGGGTACTTCGGAAGGATCGAAGGGTGGGGTCCGATGAGGGGTGAAGAGAGAGAGAGATGCCTCCGTGAACCCATTAATCATTCTACCCGGATAAAAGGCAGTAAGGATGAAAAGAGAAGACGGACAGTCAGACGGACAACGGGCAGGCACGCAGCAGACGCTGGAAGGAGCGGATAGAAGAAAGAGAAAGAGGAGAGGCCTTTCCTCTTTCTCCGTCCGCTTCCTCTCTCGCGAGCGTGAGCGCGAGCGCGCAGCATCATTTTTTATTTTTGTCCTTTTCGAAATTCGTCGGACGCCTCGCCATTGTCAGGGCCCGCGGAGACTTTCGAGAGACAGGCCTCCTCCCCGGGGCCTCCAGGCGTCGTTCCGTCGCACGGGACCAGATTCATTAACTGATAGCACATGATTCCCCCGGCTCGATTACGTTTTTTAACGATATCCGTCCGCAGCGCCGAGTCGGAAGAATGATCATCGAATGCCACCCGTCGGGCGAGAAAATCCGCTCCGTCCTCGAAATCGGCTTGGACCGACCGATCGACGAGGCTATCTCTTTCTCTCTATGTATAGATCGTCATCCAATTTAGCGAGACTTTAAAAAGCAATCGACGTTATAGCGGATGATTATCTACTTGAGAAGACACACACGTGTCTAGCCAAGGAGAAAGAGAAAAGGAATTCTAGAACACGAAACTCTTTAGTTTCTTTCCAAATCTCTATCCTTGCGTGCTGCAAATCTCTTTGACGAAAATAGAAAAGCGAACCTTTTTCTCGTACTTGGTCGGAAAAAGAAACGGCCGCTGCGAATCCTTCGTTAAGAAACGTCGGATTCAAGAAGCTAATTCGACTGCTATTCAACGAATCTGTCGCGTCTACTGGCCGGGTTTAATTCGTGACGTTGGTAGCGAGGAAAGGAACGGCGAATCGATGGTATTAAGAAGAGGGGATCGGCGGGGGAAGTCTGGATCAGCCTGGTTACGAGCTTTTATGTCTCCGAGCGCGTATGAGTTAGGTACGATGGTCCCCGTGGACAAATCGTTGCGAGATCGAAATCGGAGCTTCCTCCTTGAAAGCGGACAAAGAGCCCCCTTCTTGGTTGACGAGAGGCGTTAAGGATCTCAGGTGGTCGGCCAGTCGTTGAATCGACAATTGTGATGTTTCTTGATGAAAATTGTGCAAGTAGAAAACGGAAAAATTGGAAGAAAAAAGTTGTACAAAAGCTACGAGAACAAGTTGCGTCAGTTGTCACCTTTATTTTTCTTCTTAGACTTTCTAAATTATTTATATTGCGCGCGAGTAGCGATATTTCTTATCATTTTCTATTTTAGCAGATATTCACGATAATGTGTGAAATACATATCTCGCACTCGGCCGAGAATATTTTCTGTCGCGAAAAGTGGTAGAAGAAGAAGAAGGTGTAGAGAGAGAGACCAACGAATCTTGCGAGACGTTGATCGTCGCTGAATTCCCTCGGTGCGACGAGATCGTGAAACGTTTTATGAAAGCTTTTATGAAAGGCTTTACGAGCCATGGACTGAACTGGGGCCCCGAGTTCGCTTCTGCTACACACGTGCTGTCACGGCGACGAGCCCCCCCCCCCCCTGAAACCCCGCGGGGCCCTATTCTCATCCTCCACCTCTCTTTATCTTTCCCTCTTCGCGCGGCTTCGCAACGAGCCGCGCTTTCTCTATCGATCCTCGAAAGTGCCTCGTTTTTCATCATCATCATATCCGTCGTCGATACCTCGTCTCTCGCCCGATCGCGTCTTTCTCTCTTTTCTTCCTTTCCTTTTTTTCCCCGCACTCTCGTTCTTCTTGGATATATTTCATGGCTGGTATTTTCCTCGGCTGAAATTTTTTCGCGACATCGAAGGATGAAAGTTAGATTAACGTTTTGCAAGAGCACTGGAATGCAGATGTGATTTGCATAAGAAAACGAGCGAGGCGAGTCGGCCGCGTGAGTTTTCGTCTTCCCCATTTATCATCAATTTTCTTAAAGGCTCGCATTTTTCCACTGCCATTCGTACAACTATTGTCGCAGTCCGCGCCACGTTGATGTCCGCTTCCGGGTCAATTGGAACTCCTCAGCTTTTTTGTTCTCCAATTAAGTTCTGAGTCAGAGAGCAAAGGCAAGAGGGGGACGGTGAAGTTCTATTGACGTTGGACGCGGTACAGTCCTTGCAGTAGCCTGCGTTCGAGATGATTCTATGTAACTCTCGAACTTTTGTTTTTTTTTTTTTATAACGATCGACATCACCGCGATTGGAATCGTTAACGAGCTTGTCTGCGTCATGAGTCGATTATTTGCGAAGATTCAGAATTTTTCTCCGCGATTATAAATTGACGTATCGATGAACTTTAACACGGAGGCATCGACGAGCAGGAAAGCGTAGAACGATAATCAAGTTAAACCGCCGATTATAAGCAGTTATTATCCACGAGACTACATGTTTTTGCGAAATCATCTCGGATCGTCAAGTTGAAAATGTAAATTTGCAATTTTATTTTTCTATGAAACTAACACCGGGACCGAACGAGAAAAAGATCAGATTTAGATATTGTACATGTTGCGCGAGATCCTTCCCCATTCTCGTTCATTCTCCACGAGCGTTCTCCTTACTCTTTTTTTCCTCTACTCCTCGCGGCATCTTGTTTATTTTGCCCGTCAGCTCGCTGACACTTGGACATTCGTTTAAATTTAGAATTCAATAGGTTCCTTTTACCGGCCGTACTTTCGTGCCTTAACGGATTCCCCGCTCGCCGAAGATTATTTGTTTAATTCCAGCTCTACGTCGATCTCTCGCCGTTTCCCGGTCCCGCGTTTCTCGTCCTCGTCCAACGACTGTCAACCCGGAACTCGCTTCTTCTTCTTCTTCTTCTTCTTGTGCCATTGCTGTTTAACGCGTAACTATCTCGAGTGCGTTCCTCCTTCTTTCTTATAGACACTCTGAACAAACCGACGACAAACACCGTACGACATTACGCTTTTCAACGGTATCTTAATTATCATTCTCTTATCGACGGCCTTTAACAAAGAAATTATCTACG